CAGGGACCTCAAACCCCACAAAAACCTCACAAACCCCACTGTTTCCAGGAGAGACAGCAAAATTCCCAGGCCCACACTGGTTTTTGTAGGAAAAAAGGAAGAAATGGGTTCATAGAGAGGAGAAAAAMCCCRTAAAAAGAGAAAAGGGACAAAGGRACAGTGACACTCACGATGATGCAGCCTTCTATCCTCATGTTCACCTGCTCATAAAGCCACACCTGGATCCTGGATCTCTGGAAACGATGGAAAAGAAGGAAAAAAACAGGGATGAAAACAATTCCAGGAAATCTTGGGGGTCTCTGTTCTGTCCTCAAGAGTTTTTTGGGGTTTTAAGGTCCCTCCCCAGCTCAAGGGATCGTGGGTTCCATGGGAATATCCCGTGGGATTGCAGGATTGAGGAGCAGCAGGTTCAAATGGTTTTAAACCAGAGTTTAAATGGTTTTAAAYRGAGTRAAARKGGATTTAAATCRGATATCRGGGAGGAAYTGATCCCTGGGAGGGGCTGGGATGGAATTCCCAGAGAAGCTGTGGCTGCCCCTGGATCCCGGGAGTGTCCAAAGCCGGGCTGGACATTGGGGTTTGGTGCTGGGGTTTGGTGGAATGGGGTGAATTTTATTCTCCCCCCATCCCAAATATCCCGGGACACTCAGGTGAACCCCCAGGACCCCTCCATTGCGGTACTCACGTTCTGCAGGTAGCGGAAAATCAGGTTCTGGAGAAGAGCGTTAAGGGCACAGCACAGACAGGAACGCTCCGGGACAGCCCAGGGGGGAAAAACGCGAACCCCAGGAATGGAGACCGCGATCCCCGGGAGCTGGAATCCCAAATCCCCTCAGGAACAGAACCCACGACCCTCAGGAACGGAACCTGAGACCCTCAGGAACGGAACCTGAGACCCTCAGGAATGGAGACCGCGATCCCCGGGGGCTGGAATCCCAAATCTCCGGGGCATGGAACCCTCAGGAACGAAACCCGTGACCCTCAGGAATGGAGACCACGATCCCCGAGAGCTGGAATCCAAAATCCCCGCGGAACGAAATCCGCGACCCTCAGGAACGAAGGCCGCGATCCCCGAGGGCTGGAATCCCAAATCCCCTCAGGAACAGAACCCACGACCCTCAGGAACGAAACCCATGACCCTCGGGGAGTAAAACACGCGACCCTCAGGAATGAAAGCCGCGATCCCCGAGGGTTGGAATCCGAAATTCCCTCAGGAACGGAACCCGCGACCCCCAGGAACGGAACCTGAGACCCTCAGGAACGGAACCCGTGACCCTCGGGGAGTAAAACACGCGACCCTCAGGAATGGAGACCGCGATCCCCGAGAGCTGGAATCCCAAATCCCCGTGGGATGAAACCCACGACCCCTCAGGAACGGAACCCGAGACCTTCAGGAACGAAATCCGCGACCCTCAGGAACGAAGGCCGCGATCCTCGAGGGTTGGAATCCCAAATCCCCTCAGGAACGGAACCTGAGACCCTCAGGAACGAAACCCGTGACCCTCAGGAATGGAGACCGCGATCCCCGAGAGCTGGAATCCAAAATCCCCGCGGAACGAAATCCGCGACCCTCAGGAACGAAGGCCGAGATCCTCGAGGGTTGGAATCCCAAATCCCCTCAGGAACAGAACCCACGACCCTCAGGAACGAAACCCGAGACCCTCAAGAATGGAGACCGCGATCCCCGGGGATTGGAATCCCAAATCTCCGTGGGATGGAACCCACGACCCTCAGGAACGGAACCCATGACCTTCGGGGAGTAAAACACGCGACCCTCAGGAATGGAGACCGCGATCCCCGGTAGCTGGAATCCCAAATCCCCTCAGGAACAGAACCCACGACCCTCAGGAACGAAACCCGTGACCCTCGGGGAGTAAAACACGCGACCCTCAGGAATGGAGACCGCGATCCCCGAGGGTTGGAATCCGAAATTCCCTCACGAACGAAACCCGAGACCCTCAGGAACGAAGGCCGCGCTCCCCGCCGATGGAGCCCGTTACCCGGCTGACGAACCCCGCCCCCTCCCCGCGCTCCCCGCGGCCTCCCCGCGTTCCCCCGGCGCCCCGAGGGGCTCGAAGCAGGAT